GCAGGGGGTCTGCTTCTCCCTCTGCCCTCTTCCCTCTCGTGCTCTCTGTCTCTCATTCTCTCTCTCTCAAATAAATAAATAAAAATCTTTAAAAAAATAAAAAAAAAAGAAAATATACGGCTTTGAACTTTTTGGAACCTACTTCTGTCATGTAGTCTGTGGACCAGGGATCTCGACCTCTGTCGGCTCACTCAGCCTGGCTGAGACCCTGGTGTAAATCGTGAGCTGCCGTGTATTTGGTAAATATTTATCATGCTCTTTCCTCTGCTCCAGGCAGTAGGCTAGCTGCGGCAGGGGCAAGTGACCAAGGGCCAGGCTCCTGCCCGCAGGGACTCCACCACCTACGCAGGGGTACAGCCAGGACACGATACAACAGATCTATATATTAAATAATCACATACTGCTTTGAGTGCCATGAGAAAACCACAGAGTACAGAGACAGTAATAAGGGGTCTGCTGTAGGGGCGCCTGGCGGTGGGGGGGGGGGCTCAGTCGGTGAAGCATCTGCCTTCAGCTCAGGTCATGATCCCAGGATCCTGGGATCGAGCCCTGCATTGGGCTCCCTGCTCCTCAGAAAGCCTGCTTCTCCCTCTCCCACTCTCCCTGCTTGTGTTCCCTCTCTTGCGGTGTCTGTCAAATAAATAAATAAAATCTTTTTTTAAAAATGAGAGGGATGGATCTCTGCATATACATGTACATATGTAAGTAGGTGAACAGGCTTGAATTGGCACAGACTGTCTGGACAGGTGGAGGGAAAACTGATAAAGTGATTGACTCTGGGATTCTCCCAAGACTTGTAGTCAAGGATAAGAGGGAGGATGACCTTCCACTGTCATGTGGTGGTGCTTAAATTTTATGCCTTTTGTGCACAGATAGCTTTTTCAAAAATGAGAAAGACAGAAGGTAAATACTAAAGTGGTGTCATCTCTATTCCCATCAACATTTATAATGCCCCTGAAGCCAAACACCCTGCAAAGAAAGTATTTTTAAAATTAGTTTGCTTCTGGGGTGCCTGGGTGGCTCAGTCTGTTAAGCATCTGCATTTGGCTCAGGTCATAATCTCAGGGTCCTGGGACTGAGCCCCGCATTGGGCTCCCCACTCAGCAGGGAGCCTGCTTCTCCCTCTCCCACTCCTTCTTGTGCTCGCTCGCTCGCTCTGTGTCAAATAAATAAATTAAATTTAAAAAAAAGGGGGTCTGCTGTCGACGGGAGGGTGAGGACAGGCCTCTGTGCACACAGACACATCCAGCCGCTCTGCTCTTGACCCAATCCAGCCTTCTTTTAAGGTTCACATTTGGCCTGTGGGTTGGCCCTTTTTTATGGTTCCATTTATATGGAATGAAGATAATAAAGAGGCTAAGTGCTAGACCAGCAGAATGCCACGTATCCAGCATATAAGCAGTAAGCACTGGATCACTGACTTTATTGTAAAAATCCAGCCAAAAAAGGGGCACCTGGGTGACTCGGTAGTTGAGCATCTGATTCTTGATTTTGGCTCAGGTCATGATCTCGGGGTTGTGGGATTGAGCCCTTGTCCGGCTCTGAGCTCAGCACGGAGTCTGCTTGAGATTCTCTCTTCCTCTGCTCCTCCCCCCACTCACACCCTCTAAAATGAATAAATAAGATCCTTTTTAAAAAAATCCACCAGGGGTGCCTGGGTGGCTCAGTTGTTAAGCATCTGCCTTTGGTTCAGGTCACGGTCCCAGGGTCCTGGGATCGAGCCCTGCGTCGGGCTCCCTGCTCCGCAGGAAGCCTGCTTCTCCCTCTGACCCTCTCCCCTCTCATGTGCTCTCTCTCTCTCTCATTCTGTCTCAAATAAAAAAAAACCTTTAAAAAAAAAAAAAAAGAAAAAAGAAAAAAACAGAACTCCAACTCAATAGCAACCTTCTGAGCTTGCCTTCGGTCAGCTACTCGACCCAGAACCTTGGTCAGTTTTCCAAGTAAGTGGAGATTCCGTCATGGCGACCCTAACATCCCTGACCAAGCACTGGCTATGTGCCCGGTAAGCACAGTCCCTACAGGACCTCCTTCTGTCCCCAAAGCACCCTAGGGAAGTAAGGATTACTACCCGCATCCTATAGAGATGCCAGCTGGGTGCTCAGAGAAGTGAAGCAGCTTGGCCAGGTCACTCGGCACCAGAACCAGGCTCTAAATTTCCTGGTCTGGCTCCCTGCACACCTACATGATCCTGCCCCTGGGTTTGCCATTAAGCGAGAAAATCAGATTACAAATTTATATACCTATTGATGATTGCATTTTCAAAAACCAGTTGTATCAATATTTGTGTGTGTGTATTGTGTGTGTGCGATGCATACATGTGTGTACTGCATACATCCGTGTATGTGGTATGTGCATTTGTGCACATGTAGGCGTGTGCATGTATGTGTATGGGCTTATACATGGATGTGCCTTTATACCTGTTTGTGTGGGACTATACGTGTGTGTGTCTGTGTGTGTGTGTGTGTGTGTATGTGCAGGCCCGTGTCTACACACTTCTAAGTATTAAAGGACATACACTGAAATATTACTAATTATCTTCAGGCGGTAGAGTTACAAGTGATTTATTTTCTCAGTTTTCTACCATATACATCCATTAATACATTTAATAAATACACTTAATAGGGGCGCCTGGGTGGCTCAGTCGGTTAAGCGACTGCCTTCGGCTCAGGTCATGATCCTGGAGTC